CAGGTTCCTCAGGTCCACCATGAAATCCCCAACGCTTTCACCTTCACGCTGGTCCCTCTGATAGAACTCATGTCTGCGAATGAGAGTTGGTACTGCTGGAGCGTAATGGTTGCACAGGATGGGAGCAAGGGTGTCCCAATCCATCGTTTTAACTTCACCTGGTTTCGCTAATGCCTTAGCCATCTTAAAAATGGCTGGTCCACAATGGGTTAGAAAAACGGCTCGTTTCTTGCTGGGTGTGGCATCTTTGAGGTTGTTGGACTCTAGGAACATTTGAAATCTGTCCATATATGAGTCCCAGTCCTCGCTAGCTGGATTGAATGGGGCAGGTGGTATAGCACTGCTGGCCATGTCGCCGTCGTTGCGCTCTGTCAGCCATGTGCTCCTTCAGCTAGTTCAAAATCAGTAGACTTCGTTGCCTCCGCATTCCATCCTCGTTGCCAGTGTTAGATCTGGGAGGATGGTTCAAGAACGGAGGCAAGACTCAGATAACAACAACAGCTCTTTATTAGTGACTTCAGATCTGAGCAAAGAATCCCAGCCGCAGCAGCCCCTTATATAGGGCTGGCTGCGGCTAGGCAGCCAATGAAGGTGATTTGAGTTTGCCGCTCTTGGCTGGGCCAATCGCGGCAGCCCATTTACTAGCCAATCGCATCAGTCTGTGGTGACCAATCACGATCTGCTATTCGTGGGCCAATCAGAATTGCAGGCTTTCGAGCCTGCTAGTCCAGAACACTTTCAATAACTAAAGAAAATCACTGAAGAGCCATCTGTCTGGCAGCATGTAAAATTTTTCCAAAACCAGGAACAGCAAGGGACAATTATTTAAATTACCATGTATATATTCATAGGTATGGTATGCATATTTTTGAAAGAGTAGAAGGGTCTTATTCAATAGATAGGAAAATGTCTGTAAATATATGCTTGCATTATATGTCTGGTACCTCAAATTTATCAAATTTATCACCTAGGACTTTAGATACATTTTACACACCTATTAGCCTCTAAGATTTTTTTTTTACAGTTTCTATTGGATTTTTAGTTTTAACTTTTAATGCTGATTCTGTTTCTCAATATGGAGTACTTGAATCCAGGAATATTAACTTGCATTTTAACAATTGGAATTAGCTGTGAATGATTATAGCTCAGAGCTGTGAGTTCCTTTTAAGATGCTTAGAAATTTGGTTTTATATTAAGAGATGGTGGGAGAAAGAGAGCAGTACATCCATATTGGTTTAGGTTAAGGAATGTATGATATATATCATTGCAGATTAAAGAAGGATTAGACATATTTTCCCATCCTTTGTTCCAATTGCAATGTTCTCTTAACTCTCCCTTGCCCCCTCCCTTCTTTTTGATTCTGTTAGAGAATGTCAGATAGACCAATAAATGGATAGAGAATAAGAGACTAGTCTAACTTTTATTATCAAGATTGGATTGGATGAGCTAGATGCAATTTATTTTTCTTAACTGTTATCTGTTGGATCTTTGCAATTGATCAAATGAAATAGACGTGATTTTTTCTGCTGCTTGCTTTATGAAACTTCTAAAAGAACTAAATTCAGTGAGTCTGGAAGAATTACAACACACACAGGAATAGAATAGTATTTCAAGATCACAAGTTGGTTTAAATAATAACACCAACATCCCAGAATTCTACAGTATTCACCTGCTTACTCAATCTAGTACTAACCAAACCAGAACTGGAACAATTTTATAATCCACTGCAGATAACCTGCCTTGTAAAGTCCTCGACAGGGGTGAGATTCAACCAGTATTACTACTGGTTCGGTGATTACGTTTTGCTCTATAGAACCTGGTAGAGCTGGTAGCATCCCACCCTTGGTCCTAGATCAGAACATTTATATCTTATGTTGGGCAATAGAACCACAACTATCCAGATACATTCTGCAGTCAGATGCATAGTTTAAGAATGAACGATTCTGCAGTTTTCTTATTCCAACGTATTGCACCTCCATGCTTTCTGCTTTCTAAAGCCTTCATGCTGAATTGGGCCACCCAGTTATTGCAAGTGAAGTTTAAATTTGATTTAGTAAACTAGAAAGTGAGCCATACTTTACCTCAAAAGAGCCATCTCCATGCTCCTTGTCCTCATTTTGAGCACCATTTTCCCAGTGAAGAAAGTAATTGTGTGCAAAATACTGTTTGGAGAAGCAGTAGCATTAATGTGATAAAGCAAACATAACTCATTTTCTCTTGATCAGAAGCTTTATGCAAGTGTTCTTTGGGGACATTCACCTTGATTAAAGTAGAATCAGTGAGCTGCTGTTTTAGCATTCCCCAAACTTATAAAAATGCTAGGCATGCCCATTTGTAACAATCACAGATCCCCTGATTCAAGACTTTAGTCTTTAATGCATGATTAACTCATAGTAAGCACAATATCAAGGCAGGGTGGAAAGACAGCTTGCCTTTGTTAGTACAAATAAAACAAAAAACAAACAGAAAATGTTCTCATGGTTGCAAGGATAATAAAAGCCATTCAGTGATCATTCCCTTCTCTGTTACATGAATATCATAGTTTTGTTTGGAAAATATTTGAGTCAGTGGCAAAATCTGTTGCTGTCATGGTTGAATTCTTTTTGTGAAGTTAAAGCAAAAGTTATAATGCTGCAAAGAATTTAAAAATTCAGTCTCTTAATGGATAGTTCCTTTCCAAGAGGAGAAACTGCATGATCACCAAGGAACAGAACAAGGTGATTAATCTCTGTTTTTTTATGCAGTCTGCCAGACGACAACAAACTAAATTGGGCCAGATTATTCTATAGTGGCTCTTATATCTATGCACTTAAATGCTTATTTCTGACCCTAAAAATTAATATTTCAAACATTTAACATTTTAATGAATGTTTAGAAATATTAGGTAATATAAGTGCTTTTGTTTAGATAGCAAGTTTGGACTTCATAAATTACTCACAATGTCTTATTTTAAACACACATCAATTTACCTTTTAATCATCATCATGCCTCAAGGCCTACTTGAGAGGGACAACAGGCAGTCCCCAAAATTCATAGACTCAACAGATCATGGAGTTGAACAGGATCTTAGAGGCTACCTATTTTAACCCCCTGCTCAGTGCAGGGTCCCTAAGAATATTTTTTGACAAATGACCATCCAGCCCCTGAAAATTTCCACAAAAGAGAGCCTAATTACTTTGTGGCAGTTGTCCAAGGACTGAAAGCTCTTATATGCTGAAATTTCTTCTGATATCAGTCCTAAATATGCTCCCTTGGAGTTGTAACCCATTGGTTTGGGTTCGGGCCTCTTGGATAATAGAGAATAAATCAATTTGTTCTTGTGTTAGACAACTTTTCAGATATTTGGTGACTATTTTCATATTTTTACCCCCTCCATTCATCTGTTTTGTAGGTTAAATATATCAACATCTTTTACTCTTGCTAAGAGGTTTTAGTTGCTAGACTTCTTAATCTCTTGGTAGCTATCCCCCAAATGTGGTTGAGTCCTTCCTTTATAATGTGGAACAACCTAATTTAATTAAGTTTTAAGTCACCTCCATCGTCTATATATTGGGATGAGTCCCCAAGCTAGTGCTGACCAGATAAATATTCTGCAGTTGCCATAAACCACACTTCCTAGGAATTTTGAAAAAAAAAAATCCTGCTAGATTAAAAACCCACTTTATCCAGCACAAAATGGCTGAACAGATGCAGCCGTTCATAAGGCTCATAAGGACAAGAATACCTTCTACCCCTGTGTTCATATGGATTGATGTTTAATCCTAATTCCATAGGTAGCAAAAGGTCAACAGGATTGACAGTGACAGATTGATCATTCATGATTTTCTCTTGTTTAAGAAGTCATTCACACTGACAACCATTTTTTTCTGATTTTGGTCTAGTTTGTCACTGTCCTTTATAAGTGGTACAGTAGTATTTTTTCCATCTATGGTATTAAAATTAATCAGTTATGAAAAAAT